AGGCTATAAAACTTACCATAAGACCAGTAAATGCACCAGTCATGATAGATAGAGCCATAAAGATGCCATATCTAAAGGTTATCTCTTTTCTAGAATAAAATAAACATATATAATCTATAACAGCAGGAGAAAACCCAGCTTCAGCAGCACCTGTAACAAATATTTAAATTAATAATAAACTTTGATATTATTATTTATATTTTATAAATTAATAATTATAAATATATAAAATAATTAAGCTAACCTAAAAAGAATCTAACAATGCCTAATTGTAGTGCGGAAGAAACAGCAGCTTGAGTCATGGATATACCACCCCAGAACACCATTAAGATCGGAATCCAAACATTAAATCCCAAAACTTTTGATACAAGACTTGAAGGAATTTCGAAGAGAACATAACCAAAAAGATGAGCAGATATAGCAAGATTAAATCCAATTGAAGAGGCATTTAAGTATTTATCTGTGAAGCCTGCCACAATTGCGTTGCTTATATTGGACTTATCGACCAACATGAACAAGTACAATAAAACACATAACGCTAATTAAATGAATTTGTGTTTTTCGAATTAGTAAAAAAAAGAAGTTTTGAGAAGATAATAGTATATGATTGTATAATATTTGTAAATAATTAATAATAAAGCATACGTAATATATAAATATCAAATTTCCTAATAACCCTTCTTTCCATAGATTTAAAGCTATGACTGTCATAGCTTGCTACATCTTGATGATCGGTATTCGATATTTCTTGGTGATCGATAAACCCCTTTTCGGTTTTTTCTTCGAGTGTCATTTTTTAAACTTTTCCCTATCAATTATTTTACAATTTTATTATTATTATTATTATTATTAAACTATATATGTGTATTTTTATATTTATGCATTAATTATGTCAAGATCGTTGACAATAACTTTAAATTTTTTTTTCTTATTTATTTTTTTTTCTTATTATAGTTTGAAAGAACAACAGAACTTTCAAAGAGAAAGACATTAATAATATCGATGATTGTACATTTAATAATTTTTTTTTCGCGATCCGTTTCTTTGTAACACTTATTTTCAGTTTCATCTGGCATCACAATAAAACACAAATAATAAATAATGCAATCTAATCAATTAGGTAGATGAATATTCGGAATTTTGAGCAAATGCTCAATTATGCATCCTAAACGTGATTGCAATACGTTAAGGAATAAATTATGAATTTTTCCCCGAAATAATCAGTCTAAATCGAATTAAGTTAGTTTGACATTACTGTGTGTCAGACAAAATAAAATGTTTTTAAATTTACGAATCTCTAGAGAGTAAAATTTATTTGAGAAACTAACACATATATGATATACATGATACATATGAAGAGAATAATCCATTAACGCATTAACTTTTTCTTATGATAATCTTATATAATCTATAATTGGTGAATTTTTTATTTAAATTCTTGATCGAATTTATGAATGTTTGTCGTACAAAACACCATTCACACTGAATGGGACATATATTTTTTACAATGTAAATAAATCTTTTCCTAAAATGTTACTATGTAGATTACGTCTATCGTGAGAATTTATTTGTATTATCATAATAAAAATGAAATAATGAAACGTAAATAAATAATGAATATCATTGTAAAATGCATGTTCTATCATCTGTATAATGTTTATCCTATGTGTTTATCATTATGATTTCTCTTTCACCGATTTAAAAAAAAAGACAACCTACAGTAACAAAAATTAAGTGTTTAATCGTTCGGAATAACTTTATCATTTTTAATTTGTAATTAAGTTAATAACGTCGCGGCAGCGAAATATTATAACAAAATGTCAAAGAATATAAGTTGTACAAGATCGGGTGCTTGCATAATTACATAAACTACTGTATCGTTTGCATATATTGGCATTTCTTCCAACAACGAATATATTTTTAATTTTTTGTTTACTTAGTTGTTTAATGTTGTGATTTTTTATACTGATTGATTAATAATTTAATTGACACATTATGTCTTGATATTTTGCCTTAGAATATTCCACTTTGATAATGTAAAAATTCACATAAGGAACGGTGTACAAAAAAAGAAAAATGTTGGAGTGTTGAACGTAATTTAGTGCAAAACCAGAGGCATTGTTTATTTTGGTTACAATTACATGTACATGGATGTATGCAGTTTATGAGCATTTATGAAGTATAAGACTACTATAAAAATATTTGTTGAGAACCAATGGTATAGTGATCAAGTCTTGTCAAATGCAGTTAGAAAACAATTAAAAAAATTGTATTTATGGGGTTCTGCATTTAAAGGTGATACTTTAGGGGTCTGATTATATTACTAAGCTTATTTAGAATAAGGTTTGATTAGTCTAGAACCAAGATGAAATAAAGTGGATACGTTTAAGGGTCTGAGTTTATTTAGAATAGAATTAGTATTGGTAGTTGTATTTGCAAAAAGAGCTTGATCAGGTTTTAAATCTATATTATTGATTAAGTTTTTCGGAGAGAAATTCGGAGTAAATATTTAAGTTTTCATTGTAGCGAGTTTATCCCCAATATAAGAATAATATAACGAAAAAATTTAAAAGATCACGTGTTGTAAATCATTGTCTAACCAATCAGATTTACAAACAAATTGCACTTTTTTTAAAAACTTTAACCGACCGACGATAGAATTTTAAATGAATATAGGTGGTAACCACTCAATCAAATTTGATTACAAACTTTTGATTACAAACTTTTTATTTCAATTTTATAAATTTGTATGATTAAAATAAAATAAAATAAAAAATCGAATTTGGTCAAGTGGTTACCACATGATCTTTATTTAAAGTTCTAGAAAATTTTAATGAACCTTCTTAAATCAATTCAATTAAAAAATAAAATTTTCATTTAACTTGATAAAGTGATTATTGTGCTATTCTTATTTAGCTGCATGAAATGTTAGAAAAAAAATTTTAATTATATGAATCCCTAGGATTAAATTAAGTTTTACTGCGCTATCTTCGTTTAAAGATTTGAAAAATTTAGTAATTATATTTTGATAAAACATACTCATGGTCTTCTAAATTTTAAATGAAGACAGTTCAATAACCACTTTTATATTAAATTTTAGTTAAGTAGTTACCACGCAAACTTTTGTTTAAAGGTTTAAAAATTTACAATTTCGATTGTTAGCAATGATTTATGGTATGTAATCTGTTAAAAATTTTTTCGCCATAGCTAGGGCCAGTGAACAAAATTTTGGGGGTGATGTACCCTGCTTTTTTTTTTTTGATCGGAGATTTAGACATAACGACCAATAAAAATTTATCTAAGTAACGTAAATTTTCAGCTGATGGAAAGTTAAAGCGAGAAATTTTTAATTACTATAAATGGAAATCTCCACATTTAAAATAAGTTTTGTGCTCCGGTTAGGACACTGGAATAATTCAATGCACAAAATTTTTAAATGTAACCCGCTTTTTTTTATTCAGCAATATATATATATATATATATATTAAATCGGATGTTAATTTATCTAACGTAAATGTACGGCTGATGAAAAAGTCAAGTTTTAATTAAACGGGAATTTCCAAAAATTTACAATAGGTGCTCTGAATAATTGTGATACAGTTTTGCATAGTTTATATGGTTTAATATCTACATATGGGTGGTCAATAGAAACCAAGCAAATTTATCTGATAAATTTGCTTGGTTTATATTGTCCACCCATATGTACATAATATTAATAATATAGTTTTTCAGGGGTTAAGTTTGCTACGGAGGTTTTCATTTTGCTGCACTTATTATAATAAGTAATAATCAATCGTGATAAGAATGATACACAAAAAATAAACAATAGTCAATCGTAATACTGTAATAGGAATGATTATAGGAATGATTATACAGCGGCAAGATCGTCAGAACCCGCCGCAGAAATTTTGCCCGAAAACGTGATAAGATCCCGATCCGATGTCCGCGAAGAAAAGTTTCCCGAAAAGCCCAAGACCACGAAGAAAAGAAAAGAAGAATTGGAATTATATTGCATAAACTGGTTGGATTTGTGACCGTGCTAAAATTTAGCTGAGAGATAAACAAACAATCGTAAGCCTGAAAAGGAAAACGATTGTTGTCGCGAAAATGGTGTGTTATTGCGCGACGGGTTTAAATAAAAGTTCGATCTTGTTCTTTTTCTCCCCCACATGTAAAATTGTATTAAAGCGTGTTAGTTTGCCTTAAATAAAAGAGAAAGTTCTGTGTGCTCGTATTTGATAATATCATCGTTCTTTGAAGCCGCCATATAGCTACCTATTAGGTATAACGTGTAGTTGTTTTCCTCTGTTTTGGCGGTGATTGATTTGTTTGTATTGCCGCCCAGTTGCCTCCCACAGTAAGTATTACTTACTTTATTATTTTATGTCAATAACTAACTATACGATGTTTTCTTTTTTGTTTTACACAAAAAATTAGATTGAAAGTTGAGTTTGCAGATAAAAAAAATAACAATAAATTTTACTGTATTCTAGTTAATTATAATAAAAATTATATATGTTAACCAATGTATTTTGAAAATTTATATTATTCTTTATTGCTTTATTGAATTTGAGTCATAATTGTAAGGCACTAGCGGTGCCACTTATATTTGTACATAACTCTATCAGAAACAACACCTTGAATTTTCAGAAATGGTATTTTTTATCGGTTTTACTAAATCACATCAGTGGTGTTCAATACCACAATCGCTATATCTTAAAAGTTAACTAAATAATTAATGCCAGTAAAAATTCCCAGCACCCCCAAAACCTTATATCAATCTAAATTTTACCTCTAATATTCACTCTTACTTTAACCTATAATAGCACCCTAACCCTAAATTTTACTAGCGAAACTATTAAAAAATATATGGGTGTTGAACACCAATGGTGTTATTGTTTTTTATAACCAGTGAATTTTTTTTAAAAATAGAAAGTTACAGTTGTAATGCAATATGCGAAAAAAAACATGTACAGAATATAAGAAGTACGATAAATTTGTTATCTTCTTTTTATACAAATTCCATATGGTCTGATATGATCTTCCTTTTCAGAAACCCAGTATTCTCCACCTCCAACAGGAAACCTCTTTAAACTAACAGGATTTACACGATTTTGAAATACTATCACGTAACTATTTCCTTGATACTCAAATGCCTGTGCATACTGTTCAGCTATGTGCATGTTAGGTGTTGAATAAATACCATATCCATAAGCAAAACGTCTTCCCCTGCTCAATAAATAACCATCCTCAGAAATTGATTTTGCATTATGCTTAGCTGTACCATGATATGACACTGCCCAGGCTTCATTATTGTTACCAAGCCATTTATCGTCACCATTATCATATTTTCCGGCAACTCTCAAGGCTATACGGTTCCATCCATATGGTCGTTTATATTGCACATTGCCTCGCATAGATGTTACACCTGTATCATTAATATTTGTAAAATCACGATCATATTGTGGATCCAAATCATTCAAATTCAAATAACAAACCACACCAAAATACAATTAAGAATATTGTAATTCTTATCTGTATATTTTGGATGCAATTATCTTAAAAATACTCCAATCACTATATCAGGATAACAAGATATTTAATAATCCGTACGTATATATACAAGCGGAACGAAGTTTCCGCGAATACCCAGCTGCTCGGAATATTTTTACTACAAGTACGCCAACGTTGCACCAGAAATTTCCGAATAAATAAATTGCACAGTAGATTCAAAAAAAATCCCATATTTACCTATCCCTAGTTGAATTTACATGATTAAAAGTTACTTACAGTACGTAAACAGTGACGACTTTTTTTTTTCCTATTTCTTAAGATATATAAGTTCTTTTGTTATATTTTTATCAAATAAAAAAATAAACTTCAACATAGTGAATTGCAGTTATTTTTTATTTGATTAGCATGATTTTGTTTATGTTTATATAACACAATTTATGTTTATTATTTATGATATAACACAATTTATAATCATTTAACACTTACAAGTTATGTGTTTGATTTTCGGATTTTTCCGCATTTGTTTTACCGGATTAATTTGATTTTTACTCCGTCTTTCTTGAGGACTATCACAATTCAAACGAAAAAGGAAATTTCATTTTATAACATTTTTTGTGCTTAATAACTACCAGGTGGGGTAAGTAGTCGTACAGTATCATACCAAGCCCACTGATATTTAACAAATTAAGAATTCATGTGGGTTTAACAAATAATATTTATACATATCATGTTATATATTTTCTTTTTAGGATCGGATTTGTATATACAAGGAACTTTTTACATGCAAACGATGGGATTTTTATTAAGATAGGGGGGATTACAATATATGGTTATAAAATAACGTATCACTAAAACTAATGTACTATATATCTATTTATATGTTTAACTCCTCAAGGCATTATTTTTTTTAATCTAATCGTTATTCAACCTATCCTCCAAAAGTGCTAGGGATGTATCATTTATATAACTTTTATTTGTTGGTTGGGCCTCTCCTTCCTTGGGTCGTTACTAACTCTTCGTGTTGGTTAATAACCAATTTCATAAATTAAAAATACAAAAAAGGAAAATTTTAAAAATTTACTATATCGACCATAACGACGTTCGTACGTAACATGCGTAATGTATTAGTACGTTACACTCTAATTTAGTACAGCACCATCCAGAATTTTAACAAATTTTAGCAAAAAAAAAAAAAAAACCTAATAAGTGTTTAGTATTTGAATTAAGGTTGAACAAGGCTGGAATCCCAAATATCATCTATGCGATAACAGAATTTTTGTTGTTCAAGTCAAATGATATTAGTAGATAACAGATAAAACTTATAGTAAAGTCTTTTTTATATTATAAGACTGTTGCCAATATTTTTTAAACTAATTTTGTTAACTGTATATACTGAACCTAGGTATTAGCAAAAATTTTTTTTCTCTTGTACCCCGTACGAGTCAGCGTATTATTTATCAATCACGTGACTTTATAGTGATGGGTCTGCCACAGCAAGCCAATATGAGTGAAAAAATAATAGAATCACGTGTCTCAGTCTCTGGAGAAAGTCACGAGAATTTGGTTCAACTGTCAACCATGTTCGTCGTCCTTCAGCTTCAATATTTACTCGTTCCCATTGCAGTTAGTACCTTCTATTACTGGGCCATTTACATCAGACACGCGTCAATGTTATGAGTTATCTGTGGGTTAAACCTTCACATACCTTAACATGGCATGCTTCTCTTTTATATAAAATGATAAAGTTTGTATCACCTTTGTTTAAATGAAAGATAAATCATTCAAGTTATAAATTGATAACATAAAATTGAAATAATCGAAACTTTTGAAAGTACACATTAATATTGTTTACTTATATATTTAAAACTAATCCATCCCATCCTAGATCAAATATAGACCTACTCTAAATAAATTGATTATTTATTAAGGCGTCAGCTATACTATATTTGATCCCTAATCCTACACCCATTTTCAATATGCTTATTCTATGAATATATTTCACTAGTCATTGTTACTAATGCAAGTAAGAATAGTTGAAACTTTGAAAATCATATAGGTATATTGAATAATACAATAAATTATAAAGAATATAAATTTAAAGGTATAATTTAAAAATTCAAATGTACAAAACAGTGTACAACTCAAAAAATGATAAACATATAAAAATATAAGATTCAAAATTTGATATATTAATGCCGGTGGTAATTCAATTTCCATTATTATATGGTCGAAAAAAAAAAGATATTTATTATACTTGACTTAAAAAAAAAGAAAAAGGATATTATTTAACCTTTGCAAAATTCAAATAGCTTGGCTAAAATATAATAAAAACATAATAGATTAAAAATATGTATTAAGATTCTCTATTATAAAATTGATATAATATTTCTGATTTTAAAACTAAATAACCACTCACCAATAATATTTATGAATTGCAAATTGGCTTCTGATCTTAAAATGTGATATGACTCTAAAATCATGCACCTAATCATATGACTTGTATGGGTCTATATATCGTTTAGAATTGTTACTACTGTATTTATTTCTATTTTAAATATTAGTTTTTTTTTTAAAAAAAAATGTTGGATTCTAAATACTAATATACCTGTAATTTTATGTGTGCATATATGAAGCGTATGTTTTTTTAAGGTGAAGTTATAGTTTGAAAATAACTACTCATTTTCTACACTTTTACATGAAATTTTTAAAAATTATGTATTTATATTAGGATATAGAACAAAATAAAAGGTCATTTATATATATATAAATTTTAAAGCTAGTCAAGGATTTGATGTGTCTGGTAGACACATCTGTGGATTTTATTCCTATTTTAAATAAAATAATCTATAAAAATTTTTTGCTTCTGATTAATATTTTCTTAATTTATGAATGTTATAAACTTGAAAATGTTTTATGTATCAATATACGTATGCGCTTGTTTGGAAGTAACCCACAAGTACTTTATCAAAAAAAAAAAATAGGCATTAACCATAACTAGCCACATATCAATTGAATTAAGTAAAATTTTAGGCAATCACCTTTTAGCATTATGTAATTATCATAAATTCATATGTATGCATGTGTCTAATAAAACTATGTATATCATGTAATAAAAATATGTCAGCTTATTTCCTTTTAAATTAAATCTTACGATATACCCGATACTGAATAACTCAGCATCTGGGGATATGTACTGCTTTTCAATTGATTAGCTCGTTTAAAAAATGGTATTAAGCAAATATTTAACGTTGAGAATTTGATTCATAATCTAAATCAAATAATCTTTAGCGAATCATATATATGATGCAGTAGTTAGGTTCTTTGTTAATACGTACCATTATCAATCTGTGAAACTCGAGTTTTATTATATAATCATCACAGTGTTTATTAATCGTTTAACCATCTAACTGTATCAACCGTTTAACTCAGAAGGCATTGAGATAATTTTGCCAGAACGACCAACATAATTCCATCATCATTGATCAATATAAAAAAACCGAATGAACCAGTTTTAACCGGATGGAAATAAACCCGGTTCCAAACGTAAACGTTATTTTGTGTTCATTCACTATCTACATCGGGAACTTTCGGGTTAAATTAACTAATATTAAGGTAAAAGGGGGTATTGTGTCGTCAGGTATTGTGACGAAGGGAGGTATTGTGATGAATCGGGATATCTCGTGATCCCGTGATAAGAATAGAGTGAAATTTACACCATTCGATTCATTCAATTCTGACTGCTATGCCGTGAGATATTAAAATTAATATCCCTCCTCTCATTGAGAGGGATCGAATGGTATAATAATCACCCAATTTGAATCGCTGAATCACAAGATATTCATGTTTAAACCATTTAGATATATAGAATATATATAGAATCCATAGTAAATGGATATTGTGGCGAATTGGGAATATTACGTGACTCCGTGATCGGAATCTAACGATTTTTATACAATTCGATTCCTCTCATTGAGAAGAATCGAATGACATAAAATCGCTAAATTCTGACAGCAGGGTCACGAGATATTCCCAATTCGTCACAATACCCTCTAGCACAAAAAAATCTTATTTTTTAATAAAACTTTAAATTAGCATAACTCGGGATCTAGTGACCTGAATCAAAAGATTTTGGTATCAATCGATTCAGCTCAATGAAACGAATCAAATGATACAAATCATTCGATTTTAATCGATAGATCACATGATACATTCGAAATTTGTTAACTTCGTCATAATACCCTCTTGCCTTTATATTTCTTACAGTTTAACTTATTGCGACAGGCCATTGACTACAAAACTCGGTTTATGACTGTCGTTTCGACAGGCCAATTCTTACCCCAAAACCTAAAACCCTGACTGCTGTCTCGCCTGGCCATCGTTATTGCTTCAATAGTCCCCATTAGGGTAGGGTGGGACGAAAAAACCAGACAAAGTCGGGTTAGCAGAAAAAACAGAAATTACCTTTCCTGAAAAAAAACCTGTTCCCCTTAAAAAACTACAAACTCTACATTTTAATATTACATTACAAAAATAATCCTATTATTAATGGCTGACTTACCTGTGCGTACGTGACTTATTGAACTTTTAAAATGAAATATACGTTCTGATTGGCTTGTTTAACTTGGGGAAGCCCTTGGAGGTGAGAACATTAAACTAAATTATTATTTTAAATAGCCTAACCTGGGTTCAAATGGCGCCTTAATATTAATATTATCATCTTATTGGTTTAATTTGTAAATATTTTATTATTATTTAATAAATGCTTCACAATTCAGTTAATTCATTTAATTTAATTAATACGTTAAATATAAAGATTTACTCACTGTTTATGATGTACGCAGAAATAGAATTACACTAAATTTAGAATCAATATTTAAATTAAAATAAATTTTATATCAATCAG